AGTAAGCAATACGAGGCACCTCGACTTTTTACGTGGAAAACCCTTGAAAGGGGGAAAAACCACGGGTTTTAACCTAGTTGAAATAATCTACTATGAATGATGAGCACACATGTTCATTCTTCCCCTAAATTAGGGAAGATAAATTTATAAAGTTACATAACTATAATCTGGTTGCAGTTTTTTATGCAACAAGTTGCAAGGGTTATTTTTGATTGCTGTGGAGGTAGTAGTCTGTTGTAAGTGTAGTAGATGGTTGCTCCAGAAGCGTTAATTGGCCAAAGAAGTCATAGTAAGCAGTTGCCGGAACATTGAATCACGTAGACTGTAGTTGACGAGTATTAATGACATTCGTAGGCCGCGGTGGCCGGAGTAGGGAGCTGCATGAGTTGATTCGCATATGGACCGTAGTGGTGAGCAGTGGTGGCGTCCATAGACCGTTGGGACCAGGGTCGGAAGCTGCATGAGCTAATGACCACATAGGTCATTGGGGCGAATATTGATGAAGTTTGTAGGCTGCTGGGGCCGGATTGAGGAACTGTATGAACTAATGACTAAGTAGGTCGTTGTTGGTATATGAATCGTAGTAGTGAGCTCTCACAGACGGGAGAGGGTTGCTAGAGTTTTCAAGTTACGATGTTGATTGACGATGTATGGTCAGCGGTGGTTGATGACGATCGTCGGTAATCAATGAAGGGCAATGATGGTCGACGACGATTAGCGGTGTTCGACGATGGTCGACAGCGTTCGACGACGGTCAGCGGTAGTGTTGGACTTCAGCTCCTTCTCAAAACCTTAAGTTCTCTCCAAAGGCTTCCCCCCCCCCTCTCATGAAAGGGGTAGAGGTCTATTTATATTATTTTTGGTGTTATTAATGCAGAAATATAAACCATTTTGATCGGACGGTCTGGAGAACTTCTCTCAATCATACGACGTTCAATGGACATTTGAGTGCCTTAATGATGTCTAAATTGAGTGATCTTGGGCTCGTTGGATTTTTCTTGTCAAGACGCTCGATTCGAGTAGAAACTTGTCATATTTGACAACCGTTTGATTTTCCAAATGCGTTCGAATCTTATAACTATGGTTTAATAACTTTATCTGGGCTTGATTTGACTTGGATTAGACTAGTTTTCATATCATTAGGTTCGTCTCATTGTTGAGCCGGTCAGCTTGATTATAAGTTTGTTGAAATCGGAGCTATGAATGACTTTTTATCAAGATTTGAATGTTTCATTTTTAAAATATTAATATTGTTTTGAGATTCGTGTCATGCCTCGAGATTTGTGTTGGATGATGAAAATTTGCTAATGGTGTATCACTGATCAAATAGCTGCGATGTTTATTATAAATTTATTTTAATTTTAGAAAGTTTGTATTTTATTTTCTGGCAACTGCCATACTTTAACAAATCAGGTTGAAAAAAACAATTTCTATTACTGAAATTTCTAAAAACAACAAGAAAGTAGTTCCTCAAATAGAATATTGGTAATGTTCTGAAAAACAAAACAACTAGAAAGCCGTCTCAAACAGACCCTTAGTTTATTGAAATTTCAATATAGATAACATTAGAATGAATTTAATAAATAATAATGAATTACATGTAAAAAAGTTTAAAAGAGGTCAAATAATTGGGAGGAGATAATTGCACCTCCAAAATTACCAGCATGAATAAACCTTTATTTTTTATTTTTTATTTGCACCTCCAAAATTACCAGCATGAATAAACCTTTTTTTTTTATTTAACCAGCATGAATAAACCTTTATTTTTTATTTTTTATTTTTTTTATAATAAGACTAACACCCAATTATATTAAAAAAAATGAATAATTACAAGTGAGAAAAATATAAGGAGCGACAAAAGTGTGTTTAATACATACAAGTGAATTATAGCTTCAATCAAAACTATTGTCAAAATTCTAAATAAATGACTAAAAATAGAGAAACTTATTTTAATTCATCAACAACTTCAACATGGTATTTGCAAAGAGAAATTCAATCGAGTCAATAACACATGATTGATGTTGGATTGACGTAAGTATTGGGTTGAGAGATTCCACTCTATAGAGCTAAATAATATATTTCAAGCTAATTGCATCACAATATAACAAATTTAGAAAAAGAAATAATATAATTTTTAGTGCATAATTGAGTAACAAATATAATAGATTATAATATAAAGAACAATAATAATATCAAGAGGCAATTAAGTATTGCTATACACTGTAAATATAAGGAACGAGGTATTTAAGTTGTTGTTATTGTTATTATTATTATTTTCATTTAAGTTTTATAATTATTTGCAACATAATCATATGATATTATACAACAAAATAAAATGAGGGGTGACTAAGGGATGTTCAGATCATCATCCTCTTTTCCTAAGGGATGTTCAGTTGGGAGGGTTTGGTGTGATACATTTTAATGTAAGAGTTTTACAAATTCAAGTATTTTATTTGTTGAAAAATAACTCCAAAACAAAATTTTAAGGAATTTGAAACTCATCTCGTATATTTTTTTTGGCGTATTCCAAAATCATCTGAAACACATCACACATCCAAACGGTCACTTATAACCTCTGTTATCATTAATTGTTGCTCATTCTAATATACCAAAACAACATATTGATGCTTGTTGGCATCTCCTACTACTTGCCACTTGCCACTCGCTACCAACAGTTTCTAATGACATCTACCATTACCATGGCCTAAGATGGTAACTTGTTCTCACTCTTCGCAACTTGTCATCTCTAGCCCCGTGTTTTTCGTTTGTGTCATTACTTTTAGCTTTTTATTAACTTGTGTCACTTTTAAAAGTCAAATTAGATAAAAAATAAATCATGTCTTCTTCAACTTTAGTTTTGTATAAAATTAGGTTTGGATTTTTTAAGCAAAGTCTTATTATAATTTTTTTTCTATTTGTATAGTATATTATAGAACCTAGCTACACCTGGATATTAATTGTTATTTTATTTTTCAATTTAACATGAATGTTTTCTTTCAATCACTTTTTCCTTTTAAAGTGATCAAGTTCCCTGCTCTTAATGAGTAACCAACCAACAACAATCATAAAAAGTAAATTCATAGAAGTTACTGTGTATTTTCTCTAAAGTAATGAATTTAAAATAATATATCATATAGTCCATTTTAATTTCTATGATTTTATACGTGATGATTTAATTTGATATATCATTTGTAATTTATATCTCATGTTATTAATACAAATAACCTATGATACCAATTATTTTAAGCAAATCATATGCAAGGCTGGTGAATCTCATAAAATAAATTACATGACTACATTGAGAATAGATAACCAAATAAAATATGCATTATCTTGAAAATATTATACACCGAATAATTGGTCTATCTTTACTTATTGGCATTATAGTGTGTTATATATTTTATATTATATTAAATTGCAGATATCTTGCATTTTTTGCACTGTGTTGATGACATGGACTTTTAAATGTTTAGGTGGGCCTAATTAGTTGTTCATTTTAAGTAATATTATAAGAAAAACTTGAGGCTCTTTGAGATTTAATTCATAAGCTTCATTGTGATCATTTTTTATTTGTATCAGATTTATGTAGGGGGCATACTTTAATGTTGTGCTATGACTCCATCATAAATATAGATTTGAAGCTATCACCTTCAATCATAATGTAGCATGCCCTTACTCGGTAATTTTCCAATGATGAAGGCATCTTTCACATAGAATTATAAGCCTAAATTTCTAACAACTACATCAATTTTAACATTCATTTAATAAATTTGTCATTTAAACTTATAAACCCAATTTAAGATAGTTATTTTTGTACATACAATGTGATATTTTCTATCTTTCAAGGTAGAACAATCTTTTTCTTTATGAAGTATAAATATATATATATATATATATATATA